AAGAAACAGAAATGATCACTGTATGTTTGGATAGATGAGTATGTTATTATGGCCTTAATCCTTATTCTATTTTTTGTTTGTCTTCAAGCAAGCAACATATTTAATACATAGTTTGGATAGATGAATATACCATCATTGCCTTAATCCTTAGTCTTTTTTTTCCCCCTTTAAGTTGGGGACATTTAATACATAGTTTGGATAGATCCATATGCAATTATGGCCTTAATCCTTATTTGTTTTTAATTGTTTTTGTTTTTCTTTAAGCTGGGGACATATTTAATACATAGTTTGGATAAATGAGTGTGCCATTATGGCCTTAATCTTATATTTATTACATATGTGGGCCGAAATCCCTACTTACATGTGTCACACCAACCCGAACCTCCCTGTTTACTGTGCCACTCTTTAGATACTCTCCTCCAGTGCTACCTTTAAAGAGACCTGATGGTCCTTTGACAAAGCCAGAAGCAAGTAAATTCAAAGCATCTACCATACCGGTCCTCTTCAACTTAGGATCTAAATTGTAAGAAGATGAACTATACTTAAGATTGTACAAAAAACATATTAAGAAATGTTTTTAGAACAAAAGTATATACATTATATAACTTTTATTAAATTTTATACAAAAAAAATTAGTTCAGCCTCAGACCTAATCACACAAGAAAGGTATAGGAGGGATGCTTGTAGCACAGGCCAGGCCTAGCTATCATTTTTTGTTAACTTCCTGAGCAATCTATTTCATACTTATTTTATACTTTCAAAATTTCTATCTGAAAAACACTTAATGTTGAATGTTTATTCTTGAATTTAGGGGTGGTTTAGTTTTTTGCTTGTACCAGGGTGGGTTTACAGTATATATTTAAGAAATTACAGGATATTTATATTTATATTACAATAATTTACCTCTTAGTGTACATGTTTGTGTTGTGGCAAGCAATACTCCAAGTAACTTAGCAACTGCACTTCTGACATCATAGTTTGAACCATCAAAGGCCCGGTAACAAAATGACACGACTGTCTCCAGTTCAGTCGTATACATAAACACAGCCTCTTTATGTAACTCTAGTAAACACTATTTAAGAAAAAAATTTTTTATAAGAATATAATAAGACTTAATACTTATTTCATTTCATTTATTTCATTTATTTCGCCTTTTTTACAATACAGTAAAATATTCAAAAAATTTGAAAAGGTAATCCATGTTTCCCCCAAGAGCCGGCAGGATTACCAAAAAGTAAAATGGGGGAAACATGGACTAGCAGTATACATACATTATAAAAATATATATATATATATATATATATAAGAGTGAAAATACAAAAATAATTAACAATTAAAATATGTTCATTACTTATATTATTATTGTTATTTTTATTATTATTATTATTATTATCATTATTATTATTATTATTATTATTATTATTATTATTATTATAACAACAATAATAATAACTACAAT